AGAAAAGTAGCATCACTACAGCTCTTCCTCTGGATCTCTTATCCATTCGCATGGCTTATTACGAATAAGCTGCTTTTACAGTGGAAAATGTGAAATTTTTCAAATGAATCCAAATTTTTTTTAATTAGATCTGTCACCCAGAAAAAAATTGTAAATAATAAAGTAGGATTATTTATGCCCACCACCAAAAATAAACATTAACAGTCTACTAGCCTGTTCTCATTAATGTTCAACAGTTTTGCTTTAATTTTACATATTTTTTCAGTTGATCAGGAAGCATACCTTTTCTAAGACATGTTATATCACAATTTTCAAATATTTTTACAATCACTTCATAATTGTGGAATGTTCATATAATTTTGTGGAATAGTCACATAAATTCACAAGAGAGTTGACATCTGAATACAATGTATATTCCACAATCTAATTAGCTAAAAAGGACATTACAGCTGGGCGCAGTAGCTCATGCTTGTAATCTCAGCACTTTGGGAGGTCAAGGAAGGAGGATCACCTAAGGTCAGGAGTTCGAGACCAGCCTGGCCAACATGGCAAAACCCCGTTTCTACTGAAAATATAAAAATTTGCCAGGCATGGTGGCGCACGCCTATAATCCCAGCTACTCGGGAGGCTAAGGCAGGACAATCGCTAGAACCCAGGAGGTGGAAGTTGTGGTGAGCTGAGATCCTACCACTGCACTACAGCCTGGACAAGAAAGTGAAACAGTGTTTCAAAAAAAAAAAAAAGGCATTATAAGGACCATTGAAAAAATGTAAGTATGATCTGTAGATTTTGATTTTTTATCACTGTACTATAATTATGTAAAAAGATCCATGTTTTTTAAAAAACACACTGAGGTATTAAGTGAAGAAAAACCTTATTCACAACTACTTGTCAAACGTTTCTGGGGATAAACTGTATGGAAAGAAAGAGAACAGGATAAATGAGATGTGATAGAAATGCTAACATCTAGGGAATCTGGAAGAAGGGTATTCAGTAATTATTCATACTCCCATTGCAACTTTTCTGTAAGTCTCACAATTTTTTTTTTTTTTTTTTTGGTAATTGAGGTTCGTAGTCAGGCCCAGTGGCTCACACCTGTAACGTTGGCAGTTTGGGAAGTTGAGGTGGGCGGATCACTTGAAGTCAGGAATTCAAGACTGACTAACCTGGCTAACATGGTGAAACCCCTCTCCACTAAAAATACAAAAATTAGCCAGGTGTGGTGGTGCACACCTGTAGTCCCAGCTACTCTGGAGGCTGAGGCAGGAGAATCACTTGAACCCAGGAGGCGCAGGTTGCAGTGAGCCAAGATCAAGCCACTGAACTGCAGCCTGGGCAACAGAGTAAGACTCCGTGTCAAAAAAAAAAAAAAAAAATATTGAGGTTAAAGGAGATTTAAGTAACTCATCTAGTTAGTAAGTAAGTGCTAGACCCAGGACAAAAATCCTGGTTTATATAGATTCAAAAGAACTCTCACGCAGTGGCTCATGCCTGTAATCCCAGAACTTTGGGAGGCGGAGTCGGGTGGATCACCTGAGGTCAGGAGTTCAAGACTAGCCTGACCAACATGGTGAAACATACAAAACATTAACCAGGCGAGGTGGAGACAGAGGTTGCAGTGAGCCGAGATCACACCATTGCACTCCAGCCTGGACAACAGGAGCAAAACTCCGTATCAAAAAAAAAAAGAACTCTCTTTCATCATGCAACGTGAATAGGTTATCTCAGAACACCTCTAACATTGGACATTTTAAATTGAGTAATTAACATCTTACTGGCAGGGCGTGGTAACTCACGCCTGTAATCCCAGCACTTTGGGAGGCCAGGGTGGGCGGATCACCTGAGGTCAGAAGTTTGAAACCAGCCTGGCCAACATAGCAAAACCCCATCTCTACTAAAAATACAAAAATTAGCCAGGCATGGTGATATGTGCCTGCAATCCCAGCTACTCCAGAGGCTGAGGCAGGAGAATCACTTGGACCCAGAAGGCAGAGGTTGCAATGAGCTGAGAACGCGCCACTGCACTCCAGCCTGGGCGACAGAGCAAGGCTCCATCTCAAAAAAAAAAAAAAGAAAGAAAAAAACATTACCAAATAAAGCCACTTTTTATTACTCCAATTTAAGATTACTTTCTTAGCAAATACTTCCCAGAATAGGATTAATGAAAAATAAACATGAATAATTTTCCTAATGCATACTACTGTTTAAAAGAAAAAAATTTAAAAGGGTCAGGTGCAGTGGCTCACACCTGTAATCCCAACACCTTGGGACGCCAAGGGGGACAGATCACTTGAGGTCAGGAGTTCGAGACCAGCCTGGCCAACATGGCGAAACCTCATCTCTACTAAAAATGCAAAAAAAGTTAGTCAGGTATGGTGGCTCACGCCTGTAATCCCAGCTACTGGGGAGGCTAAAACAGGAAAATTGCTTGAACCCCAGAGGCGGAGGTTTCAATGAGCCAAGATCGAGTCACTGCACTCTTGACTGGGCTACAGAGCAAGACTCTGTAAATAAAAAAGTCAGGCACGGTGACTGACGCCTATAATCACAGCACCTTTGAAGGCTAAGAGGGCAGTCACTTGTGTTCAGGTGTTGGAGACCAGGTTGGGCAACACAGTAAAACCCTGTCTCTACTAAAACTACAAAAATTAACTGGGGGTGGTGGCAGGCGCATGTAATCCCAGCTACTTGGGAGGCTGAGGCAGGAGAACTGCTTGAACCCAGGAGGCGGAGGTTGCAGTGAGCCGAGATGGCACCACTGCGCTCCAGTCTGGGCGACAGAAGGGGACTCCATCTCAAAAAAACAAAAAAAAAATTAGGTAGGCATGATGTTGCCTGCCTGTAGTCCCAGCTACCTGGGAGGCTGAGGCAAGAGAATCACTTGAACCCGGGAAGGGGAGGTTGGAGTGAGCTGAGATTGGCCACTGCACTCCAGTCTGGTGATAGATTCCATCTCAAAAAAAAAAAGACCCATTCATTAAGCAAACTTTTTCCTAAGTAAATTCAACTATAAAAGGAGGACCTCGTCTAAAAATTTCAAATTTTTCCATCACTGGACTGGATCAGTTTGTTGAATAAATTCCTATCAGAGTAAGTGTATTTAGGATCAAGCACTGAGTAGAAGAGATATCTGTCCGTTAAACCATCAAACTATTACACTAACTTTATACTGAAAAATATAATGCAACAGTTAAATCTCCTCATTATGTCCCTTAACATCAACAGGGTACTTGGGTATAAACAAGTGATTATAATAAGCACTTATAATTAACTATCAAAGTATAGTCAAATCAATCTGCAAGTAAGATAAACTGGATATAGTTTACTCACTTGTATATTGCCTGTGAAAAACGGTTTGCCATTCTAGTCAATAACATGTATATAATGCTTAATTTTGCACCAGGTACTGTGCTTAGCACTTATCTCACTTCGCTTAAAATAATAATATAACCAAATTGAGAAGGGGCGAGTATTTAACGTTAAAAATTTTATTCAAATGTATCTTTGTTTTTCTGAGACAAAGTCTCGCTCTGTCGCCCAGGCTGGAATGCAGTGGCATGATCTTAGCTCACTGCAACCTCCACCTCCCGGATTCAAGCAATTCTCCCTGCCTCAGCCTCTCAAGTAGCTAGCATTACAGGCACCTACTACCATGCCTGGCTAATTTTTGTTTTTTTTTTTTTTTTTTTTTTTTAGTAGAGACAGGGTTTCACCATGTTGGTCAGTCTGGTCTTGAACTCCTGATCTCAGGTGATCTGTCCACCTCAGCCTCCCAAAGTAATGAAATTACAGGCATGAGCTACTGTGCCCGGCCTCAAATGGATCTTGATCATTAAAAGCCATTCTGAGATCCAAGCATTCTTCCTTGTGCTTTAAAGAAAAGGCAGATTTTTGGTTTTTTGTTGAGCCAAGGTCTCACTCTGTCACCTAGGCTGGAGCGCAGTAGCACCATCATAAGTGATCCTCCCACCTCAGCCACCCAAGTACCTGTGACTACAAATGGAAGCCATCATGCCCAGCTAATTTTTAAACTTTTTGTAGAGACAAGGTCCTCACTATGCTGCCCAGGCTGCTCTTAATTCCTATGCTCAAGCAATCCTTTTGCCTCAGCCTCCCAAAGTGTTGAGATTACAGACACGAGCCACTATGCCCAGCAAAGGCAGCTTTTTAAAGTCTATTGTAATTCAGGTATTTTACCACTTCAGACTATTAGTTCTCCATGTACCTTGGATTTTCATATTTCATTCCAAGGACACACTTAAGAGAAGGGAGAAAAGGGAGAAGAGATGGTGATGAAACAGCAAGGAAGGAGGAGGAAGGGAAGCAGAGGAAGGTGAAAGGGGAGAGGAGGAGGAGGAGAAGGAGGGGGGGGGGAGGAGGGGGAGGAGGAGGAGGAGGAGGAGGCGGCCGCGGCAGCGGCAGTGGTGGCAGTGGCAGCCTAATAGCTAAGAGGTACCTGGAAAAGGTTAGCATTAAAGAGTTCTCATGGAACACCATACAACTGTACCTGAATCAAGTACAATACCTCTTTCCTTACTATTCTTCATTACTTAGTTTTTATTTTTTATTTATTTTTTTATTTTTTTTTGGGACGGAATCTTGCTTTGTCGCCCAGGCTGGAGGGCAGTGGCGTGATCTCAGCTCACTGCAACCTCTGCTTCCTGGGTTCAAGCAATTCTCCTGTCTTAGCCTCCCAAGAAGCTAGAATTACAGGTGCACACTACCACGCCCAGCTAATTTTTGTATTTTCTTAGTAGAGGCGGGGTTTCACAATGTTGGCCAGGCTGGTCTCAAACTCCTGACCTCAAGTGATCCACCCATCTCGGCCTCCCAAAGTGCTGGGATTACAGGTGTGAGCCACCGCACCCGGCCATTACCCACTTTTTAAATACAGGGTCCAAAATCCTAAAGTTTCCTACAAAAGAAAACATTAAATCATATGTTCTCCCTTAATTTCCTTAATTCTAAACAAAGCAAACAAGAGTTCCACAAAAACTTACCTGTACCACCTGTTTCTGTGGTTGCGTTGATTGTGCTGCTGAAATCTGTGTTTTTTCACGAGCACCTCGACAATGGTCACTGCTCACTGAAGTCATCATATACAGTATATACAAAATAATGTATGTACAAAATAGAAAATCTGCAAGAAAGTAGGGATGGTAAGCAAAACAATCATAGTAAAAGACAAGCAGGTACTTCAGAGACAACAAGGACACTTACAATAAAAGATAAAAGCTCTCTGGAATACAAATTCTCAAGAAGCAGCCCGAGGATTGTACATTTTGCTGGTATGTGTTAAACCAATTCGACTAATGCAATCTAAAAATCTATGTTTATGAGCTTAGCAATTCTAAACAAAAATCTCAAGTACCACCAATTTAAACCAGCAACCATTTTATCACTATATGTAGTCACTGTACATGTAGTGCTATCTGCCTCTTACTACTTGCAGTTGGTATTTGAACCCCAAAACAACATTGCATTTAGCCAAGATTTTACCTGCCAATATTTACCCAATTTAAAATGTGTCAAGAAACAAGCTATGCCTAAAAGCAAAAGTCACCCGTAAATAATAAATCTTTTTTTTTTTTTTTTTGAGATGGAGTCTCGCTCTGTCGCCCAGGCTGGAGTGCAGTGGCCGGATCTCAGCTCATTGCAAGCTCTGCCTCCCGGGTTTACGCCATTCTCCTGCCTCAGCCTCCTTAGTAGCTGGGACTACAGGCCCGCCACCTCGCCCGGCTAGTTTTTTGTATTTTTTAGTAGAGACGGGGTTTCACCGTGTTAGCCAGGATGGTCTCGATTTCCTGACCTCGTGATCCGCCCATCTCGGCCTCCCAAAGTGCTGGGATTACAGGCTTGAGCCACCGCCACCATGCCCAGCCAATAATAAATCTTAAAGAAACAACTGTGTGGCCGGATGCAGTGGCTCACGCCTGTAATCCCAGCACTTCTGGCAGATCATGAGATCAGGAGATCGAGACTATCCCAGCTAACACGGTGAAACTCCGTCTCTACTAAAACTACAAAAGAATTAGCCGGGCATGGTGGTGGGCACCTGTAGTCCCAGCTACTCGGGAAGCTGAGGCAGGAGAATTGCTTGAACCTGGGAGGCGGAGGTTGCAGTGAGCCCACTGCACTCCAGCTTGGGTGACAGAGGGAGACTCCATTTCAAAAAAAAAAAAACACTAAGAGATAAATACACACTTTAGTCTAGGCCTACACAGGGTCAAGATCATCAATATCACTGTCTTCCATCTCGACATCTGTCCCACTGGAAGGTCTTAAGTGCCATAACACACACGGAGCTATCATCTCCTATGACAACAATGCAGAGCCAATGATTTTTTTTGAGACAGAGACTCACTCCACCAACCCAGGCTGGAGTGCAATGAATAGGGTGATCTCAGCTCACTGCAAGTTCCGCCTTCTGGGTTCAAGGAATTCTCCTGTCTCAGCGTCCTGAGTAGCTGGGACCAGAGGCACGCGCCACCATACCCGGCTAATTTTTGGTATTTTTAGTAGAGATGGGGTTTGGCCATGTTGGTCAGGCTGGTCTCAAATTTGCGGCCTCAGGTGATCCATCAGCCTCGGCCTCCCAAAGTACTGAGATTACAGGCATGTGCCACCGTGCTGGTACAGAGCCGATGATTTTAACAATACATGGAATTCTGTTTTCTAGAACAGTCAGTTTTAGACACCCAAAAGCAAGCATTCCCATGATATGGAAAGATATTCCACTATTTGTAAATCTTACACATTTCAGGTTAATAAAATGACATAACATTTCTACGTTATTTTGGATCTGTGCATCATAAAATTAAAATAGAGAAGACTAACCACAAATCATCATACTAATTCAAGTACCAAAGAAAATTGTGTCCCTGAAACCTATTTCAGCCAGAAAGGGTAGGACAAGCATTTTTCTGTGTTAGCCGCACTAATATTAACTTATTTTCTTAATAGCTTCATTAACTGGCTTGCTAGATAAAGGCCACAGACATATTATAGTACTGCCTTTTACATTATAATAACAACCAATTAACTAGAACGTCTCACAGGTTCAATACACTGGTTTAAAACTTTTTACTGCATTTGAATCTGTCTTTCCAGTTAGTATGAATACACATTTTGCATCCTTTTTCAGTTTAACATCTTTATAATTTTGTTGGTTTGGGTTTATCATTTTGGTTGTATTATAGAGAACAAGGTTAATTGTTTTGCCATGATTCCATTTATTTTTAGAGCATTCTCTCAGAAATGAATAAATGCATACAAATACACTGTTTTAAAACTGTGATGCATTTAAACAAATCTAAGGCATATCTGTATTTGAGAAAGAATCCATTTGATTTTTTTTTTTTTTTTTTTTTTTTTATGGAGGCTCGCTCCGTCACCCAGGCTGGAGTGCAGTGGTGCAATCTTGGCTCACTACAACCTCTACCTCCTGGGTTCAGACAATTCTCCTGTCTCAGCCTCTCGAGCAGCTGGGACTACAGATGCCTGCCACCACGCTTGGCTAATTTTTGTATTTTTAGTAGAGATGGGGTCTCAACTTGTTGGTGAGGCTGGTTTCGAACTCCGGACCTCGGGTGATCCACCCGCCTCAACCTCCCAAAGTGCTATAATCACACGAGCCACTGTGCCCGGTCCCATTTGATTATTTTTAAAATCACCTTCAGGCCAGGCACGGTGGCTCACGCCTGTAATTCCAACACTTTGGGAAGCTGAGGCAGGTAGATCACCTGATAACAGGAGTTCAAGACCAGCCTGGCCAACATGGTGAAACCCTACCTGTACTAAAAATGCAAAAACTAGCCAGGCATGGTGGCATACCTCTGTAATCCCAACTACTTAGGAGGCTGAGATGGGAGAATCGCTTGAAGCCAGGAGGAGGAGGTTACAGTAAGCCAAGATTGCATCACTGCACTCCAGCCTGGGCAACAAGAGCGAGACACCATCTAAAAAAATGCAAATAATCACCTTCAGCACTAATACTCTAATTCCATCTTAAGTATCTAAAGTGAAGCATCCAAGCGGGGCAAGGTCGCATGCACCTGTAGTCCCAGCTACTCAGGAGGCTGAGGCAGGAAGATCACTGAACCCACAGTTCAAGTCCAGACTAGGCAACACAGCAAGACCCTATCTTTTTTTTTTTTTTTTTAAGACAGAGTCTTGCCCTGTTGCCCAGGCTGGAGTGCAGTGGCACAATCTCGGCCCAGCAACTTCTGCCTCCCAGGTTCAAGTGATTCTCCTGCTTCAGCCTCCCAAGTAGCTGGGACTATAGGTGTGTGCCACCGCACCCAGCTAATTTTTTTGTATTTTTAGTAGAGATGGGGTTTCACCATGTTGGCCAGGCTGGTCTTGAACTCCTGACCTCAAGTGATCCACCAGCCTCAGCCTCCAAAGTGCTAGGATTACAGGCGTGAGCCATCATGCCCAGCCACCTATTTCGTTAAATGAATACATTTTAAGAAAAGAATAAAACAGAATTAAGCATCTAATCAAAAGTTAACTGGTTGAGTGGTGTTCCTAACATAAAACCTTTTTAAGAAGTCAGTAGTTTACTCATAGATTTCCAGTTCCGTTGATTGGATTATCTGATCTTTTTCTCACTGTTTATTCTTCAGTGACCCCATTTATGAAAATAATGGGCTGGCAGCAGTGGCTCACGCCTATAATTCCAGCATTTTGGGAGGCCGAGGCGGGTGGATCATGAGGTCAGGAGATCGTGACCATCCTGGCTAATACGGTGAAACCCTGTCTCTACCAAAAATACAAAAAATTAGCCAAGCATGGTGGCACGCATCTGTAATCCCAGCTACTTGGGAGGCTGAGGCAGAAGAATCGCTTGAACCCAGGAGGCGGAGGTTGCAGTGAGCTGAGATTGGCCACTCCACTCCACTCCATTCCAGGGAGACAGAGCGAGACTCCGTCTCAAAAAAATAAATAAATAAATAAAATAATCTAGGTGAAATAACAAAATGAGACTTTCTCCGTACAGAAGTGCCATCTGGTGATCAAAATCTGCATGTACAGAAGGAATATACTTAATCCATATTCAGTGGACATTAATTTTTTGATTTACAGAAAAATGACTTTTAATCTTTATAGCCTATTATAACCAAACATTTTGATATCATGCACATGAATCTTCACTTGTCGAGGAAGAAAACTGTAACTCTTTATTGTAACTCAAACTATTAAAATTTTACTGGTCCATGTTCACAGATCAACATTAAGACTATATCTCCTTCCAATCATCAATTCTTAACATAAAATATTCCATAATGAATATGTAATTAAGCTATAAATAATTACCCCGCTTGCATGGCTAACCCAGAATAGTTGCTTTGTGAAACATAAAAACTGCAAGGCTTACTTTATTGTTTAGAAAAAGTTTTTCTCTTAATTAAGGTTTACTGCTCTGGGTTATATATCCATAAATTGTTACTACAAATACTTCTAACTTAAAAATAGCAAATGCCGGCCAGACGCAGTGGCTCGTGCCTGTAATCCCAGTACTTTGGAGGCCGAGGCAGGCGGATCATGAGGTCAGGAGATCGAGACTATCCTGGCTAATAAGGTGCAACCCCGTCTCTATTAAAAATACAAAAATTAGCCGGGCATGGTGGCACAAGCCTGTAGTCCCAGCTACCTGGGAGGCTGAGGCAGGAGAATCACTTGAACCTGGGAGGCGGAGTTTGCAGTGAGCCAAGATGGCACCACTGCACTCCAGTCTACATGACAGAGCGAGGCTCCATCTCAAAAAAAAAAAAAAAAAAGCAAATACAAGGATGAGTGTGGTGGCGCATGCCTGTAATCCCAGCATTTTGAGAGGCCAAGGCGGCTGGACCACCTGAGGTCAGGAGTTCAAGACCAGCCTGACCAATGTGGAGAAACCCCATCTCTACTAAAAATACAAAATTAGCCAGGCGTGGGGGCACATGCCTGTAATCCCAGCTACTCAGGAAGCCAAGGCAGGAGAATCACTTGAACCCAGGAGGCGGAGGTTGCGGTGAGCCGAGATCGTGCCATTGCACTCCGGCCTGGGCAACAAGAGCAAAACTCCGTCTCAAAAAAAGAAAAAAAAAATAGCAAATACATTCTTTCAAAAATAAAAATAATTATAAGGGTCTCAGC